CTGTTTTTAACCTTGATAAATAATTTGTAATTTTGTTTATGTAGATATGTGATATTGGGTACTTATTGATAAATATATTTATCAACTTGAATGGTCCATGAATACTGATATCAATTTTTCTTACATATCAGAAATGCCATATTTCTTGTGTATTGCCCTCAGATAGTCGTTGTCAGGTGTCAATAACTGTTTGAAGCGCTAGAGAAAAGAATAGAATATGGTCATATTCAGAAGATGTATTAGTGGATAGTATTCTCGTTTGCTGAAGGTAATTTTCACTTCATTACGGACGGTATGTTTATACTTATATTATTCTACCTACACAGAGCAGACGTTTGGGTCTTTGGTTTCCGTTAACCAAGAACGTTATATAACCCTCCGATTTCTCGTCTTTAATTACTAAGTCAAATAAGCATCTTCTTTCTTATCATCAACATCACCAACATCATCATCACCATCATCACCATCACCATCACCATCATCACCATCATTATCATCACCATCTTCACCACCATCATCATCATCACCATCACACCACCATTATCATCACCATAATCACCACCATCATCATCATCACCATCACCATCACCATCACACCACCATTATCATCACCATCATCATCATCATCATGACCATCACCATCATCACCATCATCACTATCATCATCCCCATCATCATCACCATCATCATCACCATCACCATCACACCACCATTATCATCANTCATGACCATCACCATCATCACCATCATCACTATCATCATCCCCATCATCATCACCATCATCATCACCATCACCATCACACCACCATTATCATCAACATCATCATCACCATCATCATCACCATCATCATCACCATCATCATCACCATCATCATCACCATCATCATCACCATCACACCACCATTATCATCACCATCATCATCACCATCATTATCACTATCATCATCACCACCATCACCATCATGCATCACCACCACCACCATCATCATCATCATCATCATGATCATCCATAATCAGCATCCACAATCATCGTCATATTATTATCGTCATCATCGTCACCACCATCATTATCACTATCATCATCACCATCATGCATCACCACCACCACCACCATCATCATCATCATCATGATCATCCATAATCAGCATCCACAATCATCGTCATATTATTATCATCATCATCATCATCACCATCATCGTATTATAGATGCATTTGTCTTAGGTACCTGAGAGAAAGATCCTTTATAGTGATACATCTTATAGATAGCAAAACCAGGTACAAAAACCAAAGACGCGACACACAACATCCAACCCATGAACTCGGCCCACGGAGGAAACTGATGGTCGCCATAACTGATTCCTTCCCAACTAACACAGTTCCAAATAAAGATGATCTGCACAACAGATTATTATATATAATGTTAATAAATCACGCTGGACTCAATGTTATCGGGAATTGGCTTACCTTACCAGTATATCACAGAGTAGACTGCATACCATATATTCGTGAAAAAGTTAACTAACAAAATCGTGTACAAATTAGTGCAATTTTTTGTAGGTCTAGGGTCTACTTACTAATTTGTACAAATTTGTGCAATTTCTTACAAAGGTTTTCTCGGATATATGGTATACACTGGCTATAAACTATGGTTCAATTTTACGTCTTCGMTATTTTAGGACAAAAATAATCCTGTGAAAGTATCGGGGAAAGGAGGAGGCTGTAGGCTATATATAATCATTTAACTAGTGATTGACTTTACCAATATGATGAAGGGAGAAATGTATTTCCAACAGACCAAGTAAAATATGTTGGGTTTTGAGCCGATCATTGATTCGATGTCTCTACTAAAATTATCAACACCTGCAAGACAAACAAACAAGAATATTATGAAGCATTTAAACGGTAAATTACAATCGATATGTCCATGCAATAATGGCACATAATGTGGCTATCTTGTTAAGAGAATGTCGTTCTTGTATCGCAGGGCTACCACACCACGAAATATTAAATTGATAATTTCATTTCATGTTTTTGTAACTTGACTGATTGGAATAAAAAACCTTTGCCTGGAATGACGTCATCTAACTTCAACCAATCAAAGCTTGCACTAGCACGTAGGTATGAAAAGTTTGCAGGGGTTGACTCCATACAGTTCAACCAATAATGATGCACTAGCACGAATTAATGTATGAAAAAATTGCCTGAGATGATGTCATCCAATTCAACCAATCAAAGCCCGTACTAGAACGCATGCTTGAAGTCACTGATTAGCATAATCACTTTGGTTCAAAATTTCAAAGGTCGAAAGTAGATCCAGTGCACTTCTAATATTTTAGYACTGTGCTGCTGTACTCCCCCTGACCTTCGGTTGTTCTCCTTGTTTTTTTCATCCCCTCCCTCCCTCCCTTGCGCGGTTTTGGTTCTTTTTAGAGCCTCTCACGTTTGTCTCCAGTTCTCAAGCAGAGGTACAGTGAAAGAACCGTGAATATAACACTGCTAAAGCACCGTTACAATAAGTAACGCCAGCGTACTAACCGTAACACCATCCAATGCCAATGACCTCCAAGAGAGCCACTAAGACGAGAGATATCCCTCCTGCCTGATAGTCAAACATCTGGAAAACGTACATTCCACCCTGTTGTCATGGAAACAATCATCATTAGAAATACATGTCCACTATGAGTTATAGAGGCTTTGCCTTATCACGTGACGGCGCCCAAAGATACAGCTTGGACTGCCTGTGGTTAGATAACAGAACCATAAAATCTCTCTTTGCTCTCGGAAATTGCTTTCTTTCTCAGTAAAACGATTGTATTGTTTCTGACATCTAACATGGCTGTCGTCACGTGATGGTGCAAAGCCTGCATAGAAATGCATATTAGTGGGGTATTGCGTCATTTATGTTGCTACATCTGATAGAAACGATRCATATGTTGCTATGGAGGTAGAGTTTGAATAACTTGGTCCAAGAAGAGATCATCACGTGACGGCAGCCATGTTAGATGGCAGGAACAATACAATCTTTTTACATAAGAAAGAATTCAATTCCCAAGAGCAAAGGGATTATATTGTACCGCCATCCAACCACAGGCAGCCCAAGCTTAAGTATGGGTACTGGCGTGATCAACTCCATTGATTGACAAAACCGTTTTGAAAAAGAAAAAAATTTATTTTATATAAAAGATAAATAGATCAACTTTACTTTAGCAGGATAAACCATTTACAAACGAAGCTGGTATCTAGAAGGGCCCTCTGAAATTTTAGAATACCAAAAAATGAAATGGGATCCCTGTGTCTTCAAAGTAAAGAGTAAAGACTAGTAACGAGTTTTACCTGAGTGATGTTTGATAGGCCAATCACGTAGCAGACAAGACAGAATATCAGCGTGATATGAGACTTGTATCGTCTACAACCCTTGTACGAGTCAGCGAGTACAGTAGTGACTGTCTCGACACCCACAAACTGACTGTCAAGACCGAGGTTGAACAGCATAAAGAAAAATATGAAGGCCCAGAATGGGGAACCTGGCATCTTTTTGATTCCCTCGGGATACGCGATGAAAGCAAGCCCTGGGCCTGAAAATTACGGGATTGGGCAAAGTTCAATGCTGAATTCCGAGGTTGAGGAAAACTGGGTCGAGTTTGCATTGCAGTGCATTGTGGGAATGTTTTAGGAGACAAAAATCTCCCTCACTAACGTAATACAGCATTACAGTACCTTGTCTTCYTCATTAGCTTCTCTTGTTAGATCAGCCAACATGGCTTATTATTCATATCTCAAGGGATTTTGAGTCACATGGTTGCACACACTGTATACTATTCTTACTGATAACTAGATGACGTACCAGATTTGACGACATCTTTGACCTCCAGTCCCAATTCATGCGCCATGAAACCCATCATAGAGAAGATAACAAATCCACTAAAGACGCTGGTAGCACAGTTGATGAGGGAAACGATAAGAGTGTCTCTGTATATAGAAAAAGAGTTGATGAAGGAAACGATAAGAGTGTCTCTGTATATAGAAAAAGAGTTGATGAAGGAAACGATAAGAGTGTCTCTGTATATAGAAAAAGAGTTGATGAGGGAAACGATAAGAGTGTCTCTGTATGTAGAAAAAGAGTTGATGAGGGAAACGATAAGAGTGTCTGTCGTTCATGCATGTTTTTTCGGGTACCCCCTTCAATCGTTAAAAAAATCTTCCCAATCCTCCTTTTGACCTTTGAAGGCCCCCCTTGCTCCACTAAAAAACATTTGAGGGCCCCCCACTTAAATAATGAMTAGTCCCTTACTCTTACCTTTGACAGTTGTTGTGGAACTTGTTGTAGCTGCCATAGGTGATGAGACCCCCAAAACCAACACTAAGAGAGAAGAATATCTGACCTGCAGCATCTACCCACACCTGCAAAACAATAGAGAGTAATAGATATTAGTGATGTATACCATGGAATATACCATGAGGCACTTAAATTTTCCAGCATCCTTTAAGCCCCGTTTACACTGGCGATTTTTGCGGCGATGTTTGCTGCGATTTTTGTGGCAATTTCCGGAAATATGAAATCTTTTGTCTCATCCTTCAAAAGAGACATTCGTCTAGGAAAATCTTGGTATCCTGAAAAAAACTTTACAAGTAAATTCTTTACCATTATTAATTACTGACAAAATCGCAAACAAAATGGAAGCAAAAATCGCCGCAAAAATCGCTAAGGAAAAAGGGGCTTTAGAGGAGTGTGTTGTCACTTCACATTCAGAAAAGCCGCCATTTTGTTGCCACGAAAAGGAGGGGGCCTGATCCCCTTGGACCCTCTGCGTACGCCCCTGAACATGCAACCACCAAGTGTCAAATATGGGTAAAAGTGAAGTTACGATTAACCTACTTACACCAGGTGATGTGAGGAGACTGAAGTCAGGCTTGAGGTAAAATAATACTCCTTTGCCAGCCCCTTCCAGGGTGACTCCACGAAAGAAGAGGATGATTAAAACGACGTATGGAAAGATTGCCGTAAAATAAACGACCTGAAAAAATAAAGCATTTAACCAGCAATGAAAGGCAGAGGCAGAGGCAGAGGCAGAGGCAGAGAGTACGTCGGTACCTTTCCGGCCGATTTGATTCCCTTCCAAACACAGAAGTACACGACAATCCAAGAAAGTAGCAAGCACATCGCCAGCTCAAAACGAACTTCGCCTGGTTTGTGGATGCCTTCTGTTAATTGTAGCACTTTGCGCCTGTAAATTAAATATAAAAAACATATACAATTAAATAACTATATGATATCATTAGTGCAAACCATCATCTAACGCATGCGCAAAGGCGATAAGTACGTCACGTATAGATTAAATTTAACGTACTGTGGCCTGACCGTGACGACGCCGTGTGGGCGCATTGTGATTGGATAAGCAGTGATTTCAAGTGCTGTGATTGGTTCAAATGTTGTCGTACTCACTCGAAAAACTCTTCTTCTGGTGAAACCAGCTTGAGGGGTGCTGAACAGTTGGCGGTGCAGTTGAGTTTACGAGTAATACTGCAAGATAATATGCAAAGAGTAAACATTGGTTTAAAACGATACCATGGCAGTATTCGAACTTCGTATGCTATTAATCTATATTAAACAAATAAAACAGCTTTAACAAATAAAAGCTGTCTTATTCGTCTTATCATATAGTTACTTTTTTTATTCCGGCATTGAATTTATTTACAGAAAAAAGAAAAAAAAGAAAAAAGAAAAGACGGTCGCAGGATCTAGCAGCACTTCCCGTTCGCGGATGGCGTCATCACTGTGCTCCGTTTACTAATAAAGCATACACAGTTTTCGATCAATCAAAGCGCAACAACAAGGTGAAAGTCCAAAGATTGAATTAGACACTTTTTGCGGAGGGAGGAAACCGGAGAACCAAGAGAAAAATCTTCCAATTACGGGAGAGAACCAACATGCAGCTCTACTCGCATATGACACTTAATACTGGAATCGTACCCAGGTCTCGCGCATTGGTGAGAGGGAGAAGCATTAGCAGCACACTCTACCCTTACTCAGTCCATGGTATAATACAGGATATACCACACCTACCTACAGAATTCAGTATTCCAGGCGTTACTACAATCCTTCCAGGGCACGGTCGCTCTGAATGAATCAAACATGTAGTAAAATGACCAGGCCATAATTACGTTGTAATACACACTGCACAGGAAGGTAATAATCGTCATGGCAAAACCAATACCTGTTGAAATATAACAAACACGTGGCCTAAGAATAATTAGTTAACGAACTGACCAACGGATACACTCAACCACACCCCCATTCATTGGCGTTCACTATTTTGTTGTGACGGTCAGTTAGTGTATGTGACGGTCAGTTAGTGTATGTGACGGTCAGTTGGTGTATGTGACAGTCAGTTAGTGTATTTGACGGTCAGTTAGTGTATGTGACAGTCAGTTAGTGTATGTGACGGTCAGTTATTGTAGGTGATTGGGGAGCAATGTTTATATGCCGTGCTGATATGTTGCATGCGAAAGGAGAATTTTGTAGAAGGGGCGGATCCAGGATTTTTTTCAGGGAGGGGTGCTGCGCACAAAGTTAACCCAGGGAGGGGTGCACCCTTTAGAATCAAAGGGAAAAAAACAGTATTGGTTGTCTTCGAAGGGGCACAAGGTGGAATCAGGGACGGATGCGCACCCCCTGCACCCCTCCCCTGGATCCGCCCCTGTGTAGATACTAACCTCCCATCAGTGGAGATACTACGGTCCAAGCTTTAACGACACCTTGAGCTGTGTACTGTCCTAGGGCGACCTCGAGGAARAAGATTGGAATACCGCAGAAGAACAGACATATGGCGTATGGTATTAGAAATGAGGCTGTGGAGAAAGAATGAGAAAAGAATAAATAAGGGATCTTCTGTTTGCCATCCTTACCCCCCCCCCCTCCCCACCACCACCACAATTAGACAATACAAATTAAACTTTATTCATTTCGACAAATATTGGTTGTACTCAATCAATGTATTACAGTCATTAGATATTTAGATCTTATTTCCATTTGAAAAGCTTAAATGCAAGCGTAATACAAACGCTTAAAATATGATATTTAAATAAAAAATAAAAATAAAAAAAACCGCTCAAAATACGATATATATTTATGGCTAAAAATATCACGAAAAAAACATGAACAAATGAAGTTTTTAAACTGCGATTGCTTTTTGGGGCGTTAATTATTTTTGCGTCATCAAAGATGCCGTATATTAATTCGGCTGTATTGATCTTCTTGGCTTGAGTATTCCTGCGTACAATGAGTCAATAGGACTTGAAGAGATTGGTTTATGTTATGTTTGTACAACGGCTCGTTGGTCATCAACAAAGAAAATAATCAAATTAAGTGATAATTTTTTATAGTTTAAAACTTCTAGGCACGCAAGAAAATTTCTGGTACTAAAACTGATGGCATAGAATATTTCTTACTTTTAATTCCATTTCTGATACGACTTAGCAGCATTTTCTCTCTAGATTACTCCTTATCAATAGGGCTGAATTCGAACTCTTATTATTCAAACAACAATATCAAATATGTTGCGTTCCTGTGAAGATCTGAACCAGAGAAATGTCAGCTATTAAACATTCTGAACCTAGATAATTTAGATATTGCAAAAAAGGCGTTCTAGTGAAAAATGTGAACTTGGGCTAGAATGGTCAAATGAGCCATGACAAGTAGGCATACTTTGGCTCCGTACAATAACTTTGTTGGATAAATAATACTTTTCTGTACTTTGGCGTTAAATTTCAATGCAAAATAATCTGTATTCTGGCGAAACCTTTTTTCTTTCTTTCTTTCTTTCTTTTTCTTTTCTTTTTTTTTTGTTTTTGTTTTTTGTTTTTTGTTTACAAATGTGGAATCTCGTTGTACTAAAGGTGAACTTAAACACCATGATAGTTATTTTATGTACTAACCAAAAGAAATTAAATCATCATACCTCCACCGTTCTTGTAACAGAGGTATGGGAACCTCCATACGTTCCCTAATCCAACGGCATACCCGACACAGGAAAGAATAAAGTCCATCTTATTCGACCAGTTTTCTCTTTCTTCTAGCTTTACTTCTGCTTTTACATTATTTGGGTCCTTCTCGATAGCTTCAGCTAAATATGTCCTGCTGTTGACATTTCGGGGATAGATATAAGAGTCTCTAGAGGTGCCTGCCATGGTGAAATGATCCAACAGGCGAGAAGGCGAGTCTTTTCTTGCCAATAAGAGAATGCAGCTATGATATAACTGCTAAAATTTTGATTTTCTACGTGTTATAATCCGTAATATACGCCTGCTTCATTCAACTGGAAACAATTAAGTAAATGCAAATTAAAATTCGCATTGAACTGAGATGTTTAATTTTGAAAGAATACGCCTGCTAGCTCAGTTAACAGACCTTGACCTAATGAACAGCTGTGGTTGGACGTAAAATAAATCCTAACAGCAGGTCATGATAGCTTTCCAAAGATAACTACAGCCTAAGACCTCTGGGTTTTTTGCCTTCTGCAGGCATCCCAGCCACTTTTTAGACAAATTTGATAGGAAATATAGGCTGTGCAAGTCCTAAATATAGGAAAATATAGGAGTTTTTCCCAAAAATATATGCACTTTATAGGAGCTAAAATAGCTTTTCAGTGGCGTAACCAGGGATCTTGCAGGGAGGGTGCACAGGCAATGATTTATTTGCAGAACCAAATAAGCCATAAAAAAGACAGAACCAAAAAAAAATAAAATGCAATATGCTAAACAGTGTAAAATGTAAATGTATCACTCAGCAGTTGTCCTATTTATAGGAAATATAGGTTTTCTTTAAATATAGGCTCTTTATAGGATCCTATACAAATTATAGGAAATATAGGATATATATGCAATAGAATTTTATTGAATGATTGTTCACTTCGTTTTTTGCATTTGATTCTGCAAGTCCAGCATACCTCTTTAGTTTAGTAACCGAGACTGTTGTGACTTGGAGATCTACTCCTTTGTTTCCTGTTCTACAAACCTCTTTCGAGCTTGTATTAGTTCGGGTTTGTACTAGGAGGTACAGACCTAAGTTCAAGGGCGGATCCAGCCAAAATTGTAGCGGGGGGACTAATTGAGTTTGGAGGGCTTCAGTTGTAGCAGTTCAGTAGTGTAACCTACAGCGCAATTTGAAAAATGTTGCGACACAAATTGCAGCAATCGTTGCGAAAAGTAGAATTCGTTTCTACTTTTGGCAACGATTGCGTCTCTGTTGCACCGTGTAGACACTCTTGCAACTTGTTTCGCAAGACAGTTACGAGACAAGTTGCAAAGAAACTGCAACTTGGCAATGTCTTGCAACAAAATTGCTAAAGAAGGTTGAAAGGATCATCGCTTTGTGTTAAACCACCTTTTCGAAAATTTGAAATTTTCATTTTATTTAACATTTATTTGAGGATTTTACCAACATTTTTTAACATAAAGCAAATATTACAAAAAAATATTCCTAACAGTTTCATCCCGTGAAGTTTACATTCGCAAAAATGGAGAGGAGTACGTCCAACTTTAAATTAATTATTCGTATAGGCCTCGAGTACGATTCGTAATTAATAGGTACGTGTGATGTTTCAAAAGTTTTTGTAATTGGCGAGTGAAATTTAAGAACTTTTGAAACATATATACGAGTACCTATCATAATATACGAGGTCGTGCGATTTCACTTATGGTACACTCAACGAAATTGTCGAAAAGAGAGGTATATAAAATTGAATCATATATGTATATATTGATTTATATATATATATATGTATAATCTAAATAAATCAAGAAAAAATCTAATGTAAAGTGATTTTCATAAACCAATACCATTAGCGTGTAATAGTGAAATAACAAAAGAAAGCGATGGAATTAGGGTCTCCTAGTTTATATTAGTCTAGTATGTATTTCACGGGTTTATGAAAACCTCTCTAAAAATAGATATTTCATTAGATATTTAAAGGTTATTAAGGATTTATCGTACTCCTCTCGACCAATCAGAATCGAGTAATTGTGTTGAGTGTACTATTTGGTTAAATAATGCAATAATTGTAATTTAACTTTTTCACGGGTAAACGTAAAATATTTAAAGCTGGCATATACATTAACCATGTAGAATAAGCTTGGTGTGTTTCATATATTACTGGCTAGACAAGGATGGAGTGGGAGATTCGCTATACATACACTATTACAATCTACAGCTATTTCAAAAAACACGAAGTCTGTGACTGCATGTAGCTACCGCTTTATAGGCCAATAATAAAAGCAATAAACAGTAAAGTGAGTCACGATCGAAAAGAAATGGAAAGAAAAAAAAAAAGATTAAAATAAGCGTAAAAACTGAAAAAGAAGAGTTGCGTAGTTGGCAAACCAAAAATAGAAACAAATGGTAATAGCGAAATTACAAGTGTTCACAAGTCTACACAAACTATGAAAACAGAGGGCCAATGACGTTGTTTCTAAGGTATCTAAGAAATTCTTTTTACCCCACAATTTCTTTCGGTCATGCAATCGCCAATCACTGATCGGCATTCACCTCTCCAACCTTTTTTTGAAATAGCTGTAAACTACAAAAGAGTTTGTCAGAATAGTAAAATAAAATTGGCTTCTTTTACATACGATAGTGGCTTTAAAAAGATATAACTAGCTAAAAACTAGTGTGAGCTGYGTCGGTGTTTCTAATGAAACAGTAATGATRAAAAGGTAAATTATACACCGTGAAAAGATGAAAAAACTTACTGACGTTTCGGACGCTAGTCCTTCGTCGGAGTAAAAGAGAAAGAAGTGGTAGAAAGGAGTGTATATATGATAGAATAAGACAAAAGAAACCAATGAGAGCAAGGTAGGCAAGGAAACAAAAACAAACAATCAAAAGACAAAAGAACTATAGTGGCTTTAGTTTAGAGTGATTTTACTTGGCTCGTAAAACGAAGTATATAATTGGTGACTAACACTCAAAGTAAAACAAGTTAAACTTTTTCACAGGCCAAGTAAAATCACTCTCCTTAACTCTATCACTTCATTTTGCAACACTTTTACTATACATACGTTTTGGATGATATTCACATGATTCGAGTATGATAAATAAAATACCGGTCACTAATAAGAGAGGGGGGAGGGTGGAGCAAATGGGGTGTAGGGAGGGGGGGGGGGAGATGTAAGGAGAGAAAATGGGTGTTCTTTAAATTTATCCAAGCACATTGCAAAAATATGGTTTGTAAAATGAGGGTTTAAAAAAAATTGAGCATGACGTACCTCCTTTTGCACCAGTTCCCCTTTGAAAAACTATGTGGCAGGTCCCTTAGAGGGCACGACTGAATAATCAACTAGGTTTGATTCATATCAGTGACTCAGATAATTTTTTTTCTGAGGTCTCTCAATTTCTCTGTAATACGACATTCGTCTCTGATCAATACCAGCAAAATTAACGAGCATATTTATCATATAAGGGTTTTTAAATGCAAGTAAAACATATCTGTGTTCAATACTAAATAATGAACTTACATCTCAAATACCCTTAGCTTAAAGTTTACACACATTATTTATATTCTAATATAGTGGTTTTACTTGTCCCTGAAAGAATAATAAGCATAATACATAGAGGTAGCTAACAACTCCATTGTTTTATCTCGCAGTTTTACTTTGTCTGCAAGTCCCTTATTAAACAGCTTGGGCATCATGGGCAAAATTAAATCACTCCATTGGTGTGATATATTTTACGATTTAATAGTATTTACTATTGTGGTTAACAGGATGGTCATCAGTCTCAGTATTGATGCTCCAATCATTCCCAAGAGAGTCAAAAGACAAAAACATGGCGGCCACGTTGGTGCTGTTAAAAAATCTTTTGTTAAATGGCACCAACGCTCCCCCGCGATGACAGATCTTGTAATCTAAGAATCTAGTGTAATAATCCTTTGATTTCTGAGAATTTCAAATTAAGAAGCATCAGTGTACCCTTGTAGGAGAGCGGCAAGAGTCGTGGACGCTTTAAAACAAAATTGAGGCTGATGGTTTACCGGTAAGCACACTTGGCTTTGACAACCTTGTCTCAAACCTAAAACAACAATTGAAATCTATGTTAAGATATGTTTACATTAGGATCTCTAATAATAATTATTATTTTGTTGTAGGCCACAAATTTATAATTTAATTTCCTGTCATATGTTCGACTCTCTTCAAAAATTAAGTCTATCTGCATAAGATGAAATAAAAGCAAGGGAAAAAAAAAAAAAAAAAAAAAAAAGAAAGAAAGAAAGAAAAAGTAGTAACAAGAGACTGTCCAATTTCATTTTTGAATGTTTATATAATATCAGAGGAACAAAACCATTTATTTAGGAGAGAACATATACTTACAAATACAACTGGTGCCTTTCCTCGAAAAGATGCAGTGTCTCGCTCAATCTTGGCCATGGCTTCAGCATTGGGTTTGAGCAAGAAACAAATGCGCTAAAGAAGTAGAAGATATAACATTTGACATCATTTACTCAGACTAGTTGATGCCGATGTTGTTAAAAGGGTAAATGTGATTGGCTTTGAACAGAGGCCAATCCAAAGTCATGATTCGTTGCACAAATCATTTAGTGTGGTTCACAAACCTTTTAATAATTTAATAATTAATAAAGATTATCATTATTATATTATTATTTATTACTAGGTTTACCTCTCTCAATGTCCCAGGTGTCTTGTAGATCTCATGGATAGCCATCAGTGGAATCATCATTACAGAAGACAAACACATGCACCAACCGAGGAACTCTGCCCATCCAGGGTAGGGCTGTCCGTTATACTTTATACCATTCCACTTGATAATGTTAGCCAGGATGATAGTCTGCATTGCAAGACAATAAAGGATGTTGGTAATACAATGAAGTGATGATGATGATGATAACTGCTTGTAACACATCTTAACAAAATAATTCTCATTTCAGTAAAAGTAAGTCTGTAAAATTACCATGGTGCAGAATGGCGAAACGTACTTCCAGCAGACCTGGAACCACAGGAATGGCCTCCTACCAGTCATGAGTTCTACGTTATCAGAGAATCTATCCACCCCTACAACATAAAAAGGTAAGGTAAAGTACCTATATTTATCGTCCGTAGTTCCCTCATTTGGAATTCAACTGCTATCAATGGAAGCGGACGGTGCACACATTACCCCCTCTCTCCATCAGTGCTCTGTTTTAAGAGTATTTAAAGCTTGAGAGAAGTCGAAAAAGACGTGGAGATCCCAAGGATTGAACCGTGGACCTCAAGCTCTGAAGGTTGCGCACTAACCAACTGAGCTACGCCTGCTCATACACAGACAATCAATTATTTATGCTGATATAATGCAACATGACTCACGAGTTGTGATCTTACCATAAATCCATGAAATGGTGATGATCTCAAAAAAAGCCAGGATCAAGAGAGAAAGGCCAGCAGTCTGATAATCCATGAGGTTGAACCACCACATACCACCCTGGATGGGGGGAAAATGGTCATGTTAATAAACATTATAAAATAACTAGAAAGTCAATGCTTAATTATCAGGGACTGCTAAGGGGGTAGGATTTACACTTTCCAATCTTACATCACTCCCCCCCCCCCTCCAACCCCAAATTCCTTTCCGCAAAATGCAACTCAAGCAAGCAAGAGACCCAAAAAACTCTGCTCACAGTAATAGGATGTCCAGGAATTGACCCCGAGAGGTGAAAGGCAAGCGTACTAGTACTAAATCACCTTTAATTCCCCAAAGCAAAAAACTGACCTGTTAATAACGATTCAAGTGCTAATACCTAGAATATATCATAAGTCTGAGCTTACTTACCTGCATAATACATGGAAAGCCAAGGAAGAACATGCTACCACAGAGAACAGCTACAAATGCTGGTTTACGCCACTTTGTGGCTCGTAGCCATGGATACTCATCAACCAAGCCGGTGATGACAGCCTCAATAGTAGCAAACTGTAACAAGAAATAATGTTGTTATTTATGCAAAAATTGCATGAGAAAAAAACTATTTATTCAAATTTTCTCTAAACATTAACTCCAACAGTGATGCAATCACTGAGGATGTCCATTCTTAAAATTCGTTTTTTAGAATTGCTCAATTTTGGAGCGAGAAGACACTTTTGTCCATGAATTACAGCCACATCTGTATACTTGGTACAAGGTTGATAGCTATACTTGGTAGGTGATGGTCGACACTCACCTGACTATCAAGTCCAAGTGTTACCAACATGAAGAAGAACAGGATGGCCCAGAATGTTGAAATAGGCATCTGAGATATGGCTTCAGGGTATGCGACAAAGGCAAGACCAGGTCCTGTAGATTAAGAAAAATAATAAATTGTTAAATAATTATATGGATATTGTACCAAAAGCTTTTATTAATAATGCCTTATATGGTGTGTTTGTACCCAAGCTAGACCACAATGCATTATGTTTATAGAAATCTGAAATGCCTATGGTCCTAGTATACAGCTGTATATAGAGGGCTAGAATAAATTGTTAAAAGATTTATCTAAGTACCTGATGTTGCCACCTTTTCTACTGTGGTCTCCAGAATATGAGCCATGAATCCCAGCACACTGAACACCACAAATCCAGCAAAGAAGCTAGTACCACAGTTGACTGAAGAAATGATCAGTGCATCCCTATGAAAAATAATTTTATTCAATTTGAGCTTAATTCAATTTATATGAGTAGAGTCAATAATATGTCTAAGTTGGTTCTCTTCTGTGCTTGGAGGGTTTTTCAAGGTTCTCTGGTTTTTATCCTCTGCAACCGTTAATCAACTCTTCTGAATTACAATTAATCATAGAACATGCCTCACAGGTTTAAAGTCACGTTTCATGATTTCGACATAGACAATAGCAAACTAATGACTGCTGCAGCAGTTTTCCCAGAGGAACAAAAATCTTTTTCCATCCCACTTAAACACTTGAAACAATTGCCCTATTTCACTATGACGTCACATCAAAACAACCTATTGTTTAAATGTAAAGGATCATGGTCTTCGGACGGGGTCAAATCAACGCAAATTCACCGAAAATTGTTCTAAAACCCGTATTAATCCATGAAGAAAAGTAGAATAGCCAGCAAACGCACAGAACATTTTTTAGTACATATTAACACATATTATATCTGAAAACCAGGCCATTTTAGATTAAACTGTTTTGCTAGGAGCAAATCCATGATGTTTTAAATTTGGAGATATTCAAGCTAATTTGTTAAGCTTGCGGGACTGTAACTAATTGAAGCTGGAACCATGAATTCTATTTGATTAACGTTCAAGGTTTTATCAGAGTTTTTGTCACGGAGAGTTTAGTGACTTACTTGTGACAGTTGTTATTAAACTTGTTGTAGCTGCCGAAGGTAATCAATGTTCCAAAACCAACTCCAAGAGACCAGTAGATCTGTGTAGCAGCATACACCCATACCTAAAGACAGACAATGGCGTGGATTATTATATTTGTTTAAACAAATTTTGTATGTCCATATGACAGCCTTTAGATTGTAGGTATCAAGAGCCATGATCTTATTGATCATGAAACAATGTGAAGGTTGGACAGTCAGGATCCAGTAATTTCGAAGGAGGAGGTTCTCTTGAAAAAATAGGTGGCTGTATTCTGCACTAAATTAATATTAACTATTTTCTCTTTGGCATAAAATAGCCAGTGGAAAAAGGTGAAGTACATGGTGATTGATTGCAGCTAGCTGCCTTCTGTAGAGGCTTTGCACCATCACATGCCAGTGCCCATAATACAGCTTGGACTGCCTGTGGTAAGATGGCAGAACAATAAAATCCCTTTGCTGTCAGGAATTGAATTCTTTCTCCTGTAAAACAATTGTATTGTTTGATTCCTGCCATCTAACATGGCTGTCGTCACGTGATGGCGCAAAGCCTCTATTGAATCCTCTAGACTTGATAGGAAATGCATATTAGATACAGTAAACGAATAACACATCATGATCAGTTCTTAAAACGCGATTTATGGGTATTGTTGCTCAGTCACTCATTGAATTTGGGAAAGCTCTATTGGGTTGATTCATTGGCTGCCCTGGTAATGAAAGCATACCTGAGGGTCGGCAAGTTTTGCGAAGTCTGGTTTAATATAATAGATGACACCATCAAGGGATCCTTCAAGAGTTGCACCACGGATCATCAGGATGAAGAGGATGATGAAAGGGAAAGTGGCAGTGAAGTATACAACCTGGAAAAAAAAGGAATCTACAATCAAATTCTGCTACAACTGGTACCTAGGTACAGTAACTCTTATAACTGCTATTTTCATAAACATGTAAACTCTGTAACTCCAACTTCCATGCTGAAATTGGTTTTTTTCGCTGCTGCAATTCAAAATTATGAAAGGTACTGTCTGATTAGGTTTGATTGACAGTAGCGAAAAACCAAATTCCAGAGTGCAGCTTGCAGACAGAGTCCACATGTTTTTAAAAAAACAGTAGCATGTCCCCCCCCCCCAAATTTTTGTATTGCCAGTTGTATTCTTTTTAAGTTTAGGACACACATATTGCCTCCCAGTTGGCTAAACTGGTTATTTTTAGCACTTATTGTGGGGAGGGGGTTACTGGGTTTGGGTCTTGGCCAGACTAACAATCAGGGCTTTAAAACATTTGAGCAGAAGGTGTGACACTATACCTTCCTGTGGCTGGACCATGGCAACTCAACAGAAAATCATTTTTTTCAGGGTGTCTGGTGCATTTTTTGTTATTCCTGTCTTCCATGTTCTTCTTATTGCCAAAACTCATAACATTAATTTTGAACTAATCATTCAAAGTTAAACATACCTTTCCGGAGGACTTTATTCCCTTGAATAGACAGAAATAAACAACTACCCAGGACAAGATAAGAGTTCCAAACAAAGGCCATCGCATGTCTCCAATCTGTGCAATATCATCTGTGATCTCAAGAACATTGTGCCTGGAAAGCAATTAATTCTTGTCAAAACTTAAAGGCATCAATAATATGGAATAAAAACTTAGTTTTTAAATCGCTTCAAAATAAAGTTACTACCAAGATTTTTAGTATTCAATATAATTTTACTAGCTAAAAAAAACCCATTTATTTAAATAGTTGACAACTCTCTTGTTCTAGCCCACCATTGTATACACACATCCCTACAAAAACTCAATAAAGGTTGAAATAAAATGGCCTGTAAGCCACCAGTCATCATGACTGGAAAATATTTTATAAGCCCTGTCTATGTATCTTACTTCCAGAACTCTTCACTAGGGGAGGTAGCTGTTGCAGTACAATTAGCTCCAAGACCAAGCAGAGTACAGTTCAGTGCTTCCGCACCTTTTCTTTCAGTCCTAAAAAAATCATGATGAAAAATGAGTTAAATGCTCTTGCATTATTTAAATAAAATGAACATGCACAATCCCTTTGACATCCTCCCTTGATCTCTTTGTCTTCCTGTCACTTAGAGTACACTAAAGTTCATTAAAGCCAGCACTGCATGTTTACGGGTTACCTTGGTTAGATGAAAAACGCCTTTGAACCCTGAAACAACCTCTGCGCTGATCTAAGTCAGGGCATGGCTAACTCACAGATTGAACCCTGAAACAACCTCTGGGCTGATC